GCAGCAATTTTAACTGCCAAAAATTAATTACTTGAGAGAAAATGGTATTTTTGTATTTTTAGCGGCCATCTTGGCAGCCATTATGGGTTTCTCTGACCAGTGCTTGATTTAAGGCTCTCACTCTTAATATTCATACAATTCAGATATTTATCTAGCAGATTCTACATAAGTTATTAGTGGACCTTTAATGCACTTAGAACCCCCCTCTCTGATCTAGACTATATCATGTAAGTGTTTTTTTTATTTTCATAGACCAATGTATCAGTATTTCAAAACCCTGCATAATTAAACTTTGACATGTTTTTTTACTTTTGTAGTTATTTGAAGATAAAGACAATGTTGAGGAAACAGAAAATATCAGGGCTGTGAAGTATGTATGTCTTATAGAACTGAAGGTGCTAGATTTAAAAACTGATGGGATTGGAGTATGGCAGGAAACATTTACTAAAGCAGGTAATAATGTACAAATAAATGTAGTTTTTTACCTTTGCTGAGTCAGATGTCTTACATCCACATTTAAAATTTTTCATGGTCAACTTTTAAACCTGAGCTTGCAGATAACTGGAAGTGATTAGTCTTTCTTTGCCACCAGTGTAGAGCCAAAGAAGTGTTGTTATAAGCTCTGAACTGTTGGTACCTTGATTTATGTACTTTGATATTAAAGGACCCCACTGAGGTTATTTTGTCTAGACGGGCCTGAAAATAATTTTTCGAAATTAATGTTCCATTTGATGAAGGCCTATACCAATAACTTGTGGGCAAAATTTCAGATTATTGGCTCTCTCCTGTTTGACAGAATAATCATTGATATACAAACCCGGGCATTCTAGGTACCAGGATTTTTTCGGACCACTGTTGTGACATATATATAGTATAATAAAAAAAGTATTTCTTGTTGGTGGAAAAGCTAACTGTTTGTTTTCAGAGCAATAATGATAAAATATGAACATTTTTTATACTTTGATATAAAGATTGTTACTTATTTTTATGAAAATGATGGCCTTATTTCAGATCAAACATGTACATATTAATTATTTCGTAAATTTTTTCCAGATCCAATGAGTAGAATCCAAGCTACATGCAGATGTAAGAAACTATGTCACCAGCGTGCAATAGAAAATGCCTTCTCTAAAGTACTCCTAATTGTACTGGGTAATGGTAAAACTATGGTGGAAATAGACACAACTAAACCAGAGTTCAAGTGCGACAATATACCTGATGATCAATTAATTAAGGTATGAAATTTAGTTTAAAAGACTTCAAAGATTACTTTTTGCAGATCAAATTGTTGCATATACTTCTAATGTCTGTTGCCAAGTGGTTAAGATTGTTGATTTAAAAACATTTGCCTCTCACCACTGTGGGCTCGGATCTCAACTGGGACTTTGTATTCTTATATGTGAGTAAGCTATCTATCTAGCTTACAGAATGTCGCTGATTTTACTCAGGTGCCTGTTAATGCTTGAAATAATGCACAGAAGGGCACCTGCGGTCTTCCTCCACCAGTTAAGCTAGAAAGTTGCCATAATGACTTATGCTATGTTAGTTCAGCGTCAAACCCAAATAAAGAAATATATATATAAAAAGGTTGAAAAATGTTTTTGGACTAAGAAATGTTTGGCTTTCTAGTTTCTCTTATAACCAGGCCCCATGTTCACTAAGAAAAGATCAGGATCAGGATCAAATGATATATCGTATTTTGCTAGAATTAAATGGTACATATTCAAAATATAAACAATTGCTGATTTGTGAAGAAACAAACATATTTTGGGATTAGATCAATGAATAACAAAACAAATACAAAAATAATCAGATCAAAATAAGGAACAATTTTAGGATCAAGATCATTATTTGGATCAACTTTAAAATGCCCATGTCGTTTAAAAATAACATTAAATTTATTCTAAAATTTCATAAACATGCTTTTTCAGGTCCAGTTTTATCATGTTAATATTAACTATTTAATATATGAGGATAAATAATTGAGAATATTTGGGTTTTTAGTTTGATCCTGACCTTGATCCTGATCCTTATATCTTTGTGAACACGGGGCCAAACTTTACAAAACTAGAGTCTGTGGTTTTAAATTATTTGTTTTTATTTACCGGTACATCACACTTGAGGGATCAGCTCTTTACAGCTTTCCTAATATACACATACCTGTTTTAAATTTTTTTCAGGTAAACGAGCTAGATGACAAGCCAGATTCCGAGGCAATTGATGAAGATATCACAGGTGATATCAACTTGTCAAGTAAGATATCAGCTGGGGAAATAGACGATATCAATTTACAAATTCTTCAAGAGCTAGAAGATGACATGTGACAAGTGACTTAGGTTAATATATATGTGTACAAGAAAATTGTGATGTACATGACTGAGTGAGACAGAAATTATATAAATAGACATTACATTTCAAGACAGATGGAGGATATTAATGCTTATAAATAGCTAAAGATCCTGTAACTTAAATTTTTTTATATCCTTTTTAGCTCGACTATTCGATAAGAAAAAGTAGAGCTATTGTAGTCACCCGAGCGTCGGCGTCAGCGTAACCACTTATGTTAAAGTTTTTGTAATAGTTTAAATATTTTCAAAGTCCATTGACATATGGCTTTGAAACTTTGCACATTTGTTCACCATCATGACACCAACATGCAGACAAGAGGAGGTAACTCTATCAAGCATTTTGACAGAATTATGCCCCTTTTTCGACTTAGAATTTACGTTAAAGTTTTTGTAATAGTTTAAATATTTTCAAAGTCCATTCACATAATTATGGTTTTGAAAATTTGCACACTTGTTCACCATCATGACACCAACATGTAGACAGGAGGAGGTAACTCTATCAAGCATTTTGACAGAATTATGCTTAGAATTTACGTTAAAGTTTTTGTAATAGTTTAAATATTTTCAAAGTCCATTGACATAGGGCTTTGAAACTTTTCACACTTGTTCACCATCATGACCCCAACATCTAGACAGGAGGAGATAATTGTATCAAGCATTTTGACAGAATTATGCCCCTTTTTCGACTTAGAATTTACGTTAAAGTTTTTGTAATACCTCAAATATTTTCAAAGTCCATTGACATATGGCTTTGAAACTTTCACACTTATTCACCATCATGACCCCAACCTGTAGACAGGAGGAGGTAACTCTATCAAGCATTTTGACAGAATTATGCCCCTTTTTTGACTTAGAATTTACATTAAAGTTTTTGCAATACCTCAAATATTTTCAAAATTGATTGACATAAGGCTTTGAAACATGTTGAAATTTTATACTCTTCTTTTAGAGCATAATAGGACTCTCTCCAAGGCCTTTAACTGTAATATGGATTTAAAGAAAAAATTTGCCTTTTTCTTTACTTAGAAAATTTTACCTTTTAATCAAGGCTTTTTTTACTATCAAGCACTAAGAATAGTCGAGCGTTGCTGTCCTACCGACAGCTCTTGTTTCACCTATTATTGCAAATTTTACAGGACCATCTAGCATTTATAATAGAGCTAAAAAATGTTATCTTAACAGCCTGTAGGTGATGAGTTTACATGGTTAAAACAATGTCATTTACAAGCTTTAAAGTGAATTGGTCTATAAGTAAGGGTCTGTAATATAACAATAACGCTTATACTATTTAGTATGAGACATAACAACAAAGCACAAAATTGTAGATATTATTTGCAGGTGCGAGATACATAACATATACTTACATTACATTATATTTTTTTTTTTTAATTATTTACATGTCAATGAAAATACTAAAGTTATCATGGTTTGTTTACTTGTATTGTATTATTTTTTCTTAAATAAACGGGCCTTAAACGTGGTTCCAAAAAAAACAAAAAAACAAAAAACATATTTACACAGCACATAATAATTTGTTATTGAACAATATAAACATATTATTATTCATCATATTATATATATGTTCAATCTAAATTTTCAAGCAGTATTTTATAAGAATATTCAAATGATGCATTTCTCATGGAAAATGTGCCCATTGTAGATCAATCCACTTTAAGAATGAGTGGCAAGCTTCAAAAAATATCATTTAGGCTGTAAAGTCATACTCTACTTGAAAAAGTGGTACTGAAAAAAATAAATATAATTATGCAAAAAAAATGTGCGTTTTTGAAATTTCTGTTTCAAACTATTGTAAATACTAGTTTAATAATTATGCAGGAACAAGAAACAATGCCTGCCATGTTGGGGACACTGTTCTAGTGGAAACTCAGCAGCGCATTATTATTCTTGTACTAGATATTACTTCCTGTAGAAGCAGACGGCGGAATATATACCCCATGTATATGAGTTTAGAATAACATGGTAGATGGCACACAACGCCACAGAAGGCATTTTTTCCTTTGTTTTGTTCAAATAATTATACATGAATTTAATGCCTTTGAAGAAAGGTGAAAGCTACGGCTGACTTGAATAAGCATTATAAAATATGGCAAATTAGAAATTTCATCTGTATGTGTTTAATATATAAAAAATCTTGTCACTTGAGGACACCACTTTATTTTCCCTTTGTTCCTGTTATAACCACAGTTTAACCGCAGTATTGACATATAAGTATATGGTACAGGTAGAGGTCACAATGTTATCAACAAATTAAAAATAACAGAAAAGATACATGTACTTATATCTGCATTATAAATAGAAAAAAAAAACATACAGGAAGTTAATTGAAGAGATAATTGTTTTGAGATATGGAAATAGTTTTGAGGCTGTCTTCTGTTGTATGATGCAGTTCTGAATTATCTCAGGAAGATAATTACTTGTGGTAACTGTGTGATAATTTGCAACAATGTTTATAGGTAAATGCTATAATTAGATCATAACCCAACCATTCTATCAAAGAAAGGTAAAAACTACCCCTCGATCAAAGTCAAGTAAATGCTACAATTTGATATTGAATCATAGTTTGCAGACCTTTCTAATCAACATTTATCAAGAATTAAATTGCATTCCTATACATGCAGTGTGTTACCTAGAATGCAAGTATGAGTCACCCGCACTCCAGTTACCGACTGAATTGGGATACCTGTAAAACAAGAGCATGCTTCTCAAACTGGGGATAAAACTTGAGCATGCTTCTTGATACATAATCACAAACTGGGAATAAAATGAGAGCATGCTCGTTGATACACAATCACAAACTTGGGATAAAACTAGAGCTAGCTCCTTTATATATAATCACAAATTGGGGATAAAAGTAGAGCATGCTCCTTTATAGATAATCACAAACTTGGGATAAAATTAGAGCATGCTCCTTTAGAGATAATCACAAACTTGTGATAAAAGTAGAGCATGCTCCTTTATAGATAATCACAAACTTGGGATAAAAGTAGAGCATGCTCCTTTATAGATAATCACAAACTGGAGATAAAACAAGAGCATGCTCGTTGATAGATAATCACAAATTGGGGACAAAACTTGAGCATACTCCTTTATAGATAATCACAAACTGAGGATAAAACTAGAGCATGCTCGTTAATAAATAATCTCAAACTGGGGATAAAACAAGAGCATGATCGTTGATACAAGTCATATTAATAATTACAAACTGGGGATACAACTAGAGTATGCTTGTTGATAGATAATCACAACCTGGGGATAAAACGAGAGCATGCTTGTTGACATACAATCACAAAGTGGAGATAAAACTAGAGCAAGCTCCTTTATAGATCATGTAGATAATCACAAACTGGGGATAAAACTTGAGCATGCTCGTTAATAATGACAAACTGGGGATAAAACTGAGCATGCTCGCTGATAATCACAAACTTGGGATTAAACTTGAGCATGCTTGCTGATAATCACAAACTGGGGATAAAACTTGAGCATGCTCGCTGATAATCACAAACTTGGGATAAAACTTGAGCATGCTCGCTGATAATCACAAACTTGGGATAAAACTTGAGCATGCTTGCTGATAATCACAAACTGGGGATAAAACTTGAACACGCTTGTTGATAAAGAAACACAAACTGGGGATAAAACTAGAGCATTCTCATTGATAGATAATCACAAACTGGGGATAAAACTAGAGCATGCTCATTGATAAAAAATCACAAACTGGGGATAAAACTAGAGCATTCTCATTGATAAAAAATCACAAACTGGGGATAAAACTAGAGCATGCTCATTGATAGATAATCACAAACTGGGGATAAAACCAGAGCATGCTCATTGATAAATAATCACAAACTGGGGATAAAACTAGAGCATGCTCATTGATAAAAAATCACAAACTGGGGATAAAACTAGAGCATACTCATTGATAGATAATCACAAACTTGGGATTAAACTTGAGCATGCTCGCTGATAAATAATCACAAACTGATATGTATTATATAAATATGATTTATTGTAAAAAAGACCCATGATAAGCAAGTAGTATTTACATAGAGCAGAAGTCTATATATAGATAATGTATATGTAATCAAAATCAAAATGACTATACAAAAATGGGGAAAAAACTGTTTTCTAGCTGAAACATGTGATTTAAGAACTGATGTAAATTTAAGAAAGAAAGAACTATAACAAAGTTTAATGTTTTATTACTTCAGTGAATAATAGTCAAGTGATAGAGAATTTTACAAAGAAATAAAAAAAAATATACATTGTACTATCAAAGATGAAAATAACTGTTTTCTGCAACGTGATTTTAAGTATTCATGTAATAATAGAACTAGGACAATGTTCAAATTTTAATTACTTTAGTGAAAAATATTCATTTTAGTGATAAAGAATTTTACAAAGAAATAAACAAATATATACATTGTACAATAATATATAAAAATGAGATTTTAAAAAGATGTATATATTTACATAATGAACAATATATTTAAAGTTCATAGAAATTACAAACTTGTTTCTTGAAGTGAGATTACAAAAGAGTTGTGTATTATAATATAATATTTTGAAAATGTCCTGAAAATGATGTGGCTTTATTCAATTTGAAAATAAATATTTAGCATAGTAAAATCAAACTTTAAAGTAAAATATTTTGAGTTTTTTATTAATATAAACTGTGGTCTCTATTTTTTTTTTTCATTTACAAAGCACACATCTTGAGGTTAACGCTATAGTTATACAGAATTTGTGTTTATGAAAAAATTGTTTTTTTTTTTATTTCATATACATGTATAGAAGATACGTACCACTATCATTTAATGCAGTAATCAGCTGAAATTTCTATTCATTAAATATAAAAAATTATGAATACTTATATATTTAATACAGAAAAGATAAAAAAAACTTTTTCAAAATGTCAGATTTATCTAGTATCATATTAAAGTCTGATTGAAATTTCCTTTTAGTCAAAATTTGTGAGATTTTATGAGAAATTTTAACAAAATAACATGAAATCCTGTAGCCAAATATTATAAATTGCGTAGCCAAATTTTGATAAAAATTTAGCAAATGGCTAAAATGGTTAATAACAAGAATGAGCCATGTAGTTTTTATTTGTGATAAAATCATAATCTGTATATACAAATGTATAAGACTCTTTTCAAACCATCTGGACTAATATTATAACACATCTAATGAAAAATGTAGCACCTTTAAAATTGTTGCTGTGTTAAAATCTAAAAAAAAATTTCAAAAAAAAAGAAATATTCCAAACTATAAGCTGCAAGTTTGTTTTTTTTAGAATGATTTACATCATCCCATAAGCATGATTTCATAAATTTTGAATTTTAAAGGAACTTTGCTAAGGTTTTAAAGTGTAAAATCATAAAAATTAAAAAAAATTATATAGATAGACTGAGACACTTAACAACAAAATATGAATAAGGTTATGAATATTCTTTGAATAAAATAAAATATAAATATCAGAATTTCTTAGAATTAAATTCAATATAAATATTCTTAGAATTAAATTAAAATTCAATATTTAGTGTGACTCTTAGCTTGATTTGTGTTAAAAGTATTTTTTAACGCTTTTACATTTTTTTCTCATTTTGCACAATGAAAAATGGTTATTTTGATAAGAAGGAGTAAGCGATTCAACAACATCAAATTTTGCACGAGTTATTTGTATAAACTTTAGCATCAGATGGTATAAAAATCTTGGAAGAAATTTTTTTTTTTCCAGTTCTGTCATATCAAAAATATCTCATGTCAAAAATATCTCAATAGAGTCCCTTAAAGTGTTTGCTATGAACTGTTTTTTAACAATGAAAACAATGACTCAGCACATATTAAAGGAAGAAAACAAAAAACAATTCGATCTAAAGCAGTCTATAGTGATAAGCTCCTTTATGTTTAAAACAAGAAGTAAAGTTTCCAGTCTGTACAACTGATATATCACCTACATTACTGATACATCATCTGTCATTACTGATATATAATCTGCATTTATTGATATATTGCCTACATCACTGATATATCACTTACACTACTGATATAACACCTGCCATTATGGATATATCATCTGCAGTACTGACATATCACTTGCATTACTTATGTATCATCTGTATTACTGATATATCACTTATAAATACTACTGATATATTACCACAGCATCACTGATATACCATCTACACTACTGATATTTAAAAAGAGTCTGTTTAAATCATTAAATGCTGATAGTAATGGTATGATGAACAGATTAAAGTGTGTACAAACTGACAAACAATTTATCGTATGTATACATAAAATTTCAACTTTCCCTGCAGTTTAAAATAAAATCTAACACTGTATTACAAAACAAAAATGCTGTTTTTTTTTAGATATGGAATTTGATTATTCTTCTTGTTGTTTGTCATTATTTGATGTGTACTGTGAAAGAATTAACAACAAACTATGAACATTTGACCCTGCCAAATAGAATAAATTTTTTATAGAACATTTTGTGGCTTAAGTTTATGGTTTTATGAAGAAGATAATATACTTAGTAGGTAATAGGCAATTGTCTCTCAATTTACCTATTTTTCCACAATACAATCACAGGAATATAACATTTAGTAACAATATCAATGTGATGTCAGTATAATGATGAAATAGTAAAGTTATATATACAAAATTTTGTGATAAAGATATGTATGTACATAAGTCCTGAAAATGTGTTGTATATCTTAACACAGATCTTAGTACTGTGGTGGTACTGTTGACATCTTGTATCCAGCGTACGGTGGGGGAGCTTTGGCTTTACGACGAATCTGGGCAAGACGAAGACTGTCCACAAGAAGACACATGCCCGAGAAAATGGCTAAGAATCCGGCGACCACGGCTAATCCGAAGGACCAGGACAGGTAATTCTGGTCTGGGCGAGATAACCATTGTCGGTCAATATCGGACTTCACTCCAAAGATTATGATTGACAATGTGATCAGAGCAGCTAAAATAACAAAAGTACAATGTTCACATAATATACTCTCAGACATCATAATATAATATACCATTTCAAATATACTATTAATGTTATAAATGATTATTTTAAAATTGGGCGGATTGTCACTTATCTGGGGAATATCGTCACTAAAGTGAGGCGGATCATTATCAATTCTAATTTGTGATTGTGTGTCTAGGAAACAAATGCGCATAATTTATTTTAACTTTAACAATAAAAATCAATATTAAAGTTTAAGATATATACAAATATTTACATATAGTTTTGAATAATTCATTTCCATATTTTGAATAATTCATGCAAAATGTGATGCAATTTATATTTTCAACTTATTATCACTATTGGTGATAAATATTTTACACACAATTTCTTTAAGTCACCCCTGAGGTTAATAATAAAACTTACCAGTAATTAATTTAAAAAATACCCAAATTATTTAACTTTAATAATAAATTATATTAAAAAGTAAAAAAAAATTCAGCATTGTATCAGACAAGCAAAATTTATAGAGGATATTCAATTTTTGTCTATAAATACAGGATTTATTTTCATCGAGTGGTATGAAAATAAATATTTCATGAGTGGCAGTAGCCACAAGTGAAATATGATAATTTTCATACCACAAGATGAAAATAAATCCTGTATTTATAGAAAAAACTTGAATTTTCTGTTTATTATATACATTTTTCTTTTTTTGACATTACAATTTGAAAGACTTTCCCTTAAATTTTGTGTATTGGCTGAATTTAGAAGAAAGTAGTCTGGCAAGACACCAGTGAAAATACGGAAAATATGTTTCACTGCAGTGAAAAATAAATTTTTACAGTGAAAATACGGAAAATGAAAATACACATTTTATTTCATCAATATTTCTCAATATTTCATTTGTAAGTATATAATAAAAAACATTATTATTATTACAAGAATTATAGTAAATGAAATTACCACATGAAAATATCAGTATAGAATTAGTCAGCTGGGCAATAGACCTTCTCTGTGGAGGACAAAAGTTGAGGATTCCAAGTAAACACAATAGCGAGACCACCAAGGATATGATCAAGTTCAAGGTCATCATAACCTGTACAGCCAGGAACCAGTCTGAAATAGGTCAAATTACAAATGTCATACAATTCATCATTATATCTGAAATTGGTCAAATAAATGAATAATAGTGTCATTATGTTAAATGCCTGAAATAGCACTGATAATAATATCATTCACTTAATGTCTGAAATAGGTCTAATATCGATTTCACACACTTTATGCCTGAACAAGGTGGAAAAATAATGTCAGATAATTTAAATGTCTGAAAAGGATTTAAAATTTATGTCAGACACTTAGTCAATGCCTAAAAAAGTGAAATAATAATGCCTGAAATATATCAAAAAGTAATGTAAGATAATAAATGCCTAAAATTTCTAATAATAATGTCAGACATTAATATGAAATGCATGAAAAAAGGTATTGTAATAATAATGTCATATATTTAAAGGCTGAAATAGGTCTAATAATAATGTCAGACATTAAATGCCTAAACAGATCTAATAATAATGTCATATATTTAAAGGCTGACATAGGTTTAATAAGAATGTCAGGCATTTAATGCCTGAAATAGGTCTAACAATAATGCCAGGCATTAAATGCTTAAAATAGGTATAATAATAATGTCAGGCATTTAAAGGCTGACATAGATCTAATAATAATGCCAGGCATTTAAAGGCTGACATAGATCTAATAATAATGCCAGGCATTTAAAGGCTGACATAGGTCTAATAAAAATGTCAGGCATTTAAAGGCTGACATAGATCTAATAATAATGTCAGGCATTTAAAGGCTGAAATAGATCTAATAATAATGTCAGGCATTTAAAGGCTGAAATAGGTCTAATAATAATGTCAGACATTTAAAGGCTGAAATAGGTCTAATAATAATGTCAGACATTTAAAGGCTGAAATAGGTCTAATAATAATGTCAGACATTTAATGGCTGAAATAGGTCTAATAATATGTCAGACATTTAAAGGCTGAAATAGGTCTAATAAAAATGTCAGGCATTTAATGGCTGAAATAGGTCTAATAATAATGCCAGGCATTAAATGCTTAAAATAGGTATAATAATAATGTCAGGCATTTAAAGGCTGAAATAGGTCAAATAATAATTTTAGGCATACCAGGCATTAAATGCTTAAAAAAGGTATAATAATAATGTCAGGCATTTAAAGGCTGAAATATGTCAAATAATAATTTTAGGCATTTTAAGGCTGAAATATGTCTAATAATAGTGTCAGGCATTTAAAGGCTGACATAGGTCAAATAATAATTTTAGGCATTTTAAGGCTGAAATATGTCTAATAATATGTCAGACATTAAATGCCTAAAATAGGTCTAATAATGATGTCAGATACTTTAATTCTTATAATGTCTGAAATTGGTCTGATACATTTCAACATCTTATGTCTGAAATAGGTATGAAAATGTAGACACTTATTGTCTGATATAGATAAAATAATGATTTTAAACACTTAATGCCTGAAAAAGCATCTTATAAATTTAAATGAATAATTGTCAGATACCCATATAGTTCTAATGCCAGGAATATTTCTAAAAAATGATAATGTTTACAAGGCACTTAAAGTCTGAAATAGGTGTAACAATGTTTGTCATTCTTTATACTTTGTGGTTTTTAAATACAGTTAACACTCTCCGTTCATTCTACAGGTACAAGTGTATAGGTAATATATGTATTATAAAAATATATATATAAATGTGAAACTTACTTGGATTAAGCCAATCAAAGATTGGCCTGTATTCGTAAGAAAAGATCCAGGCACAACCATCGTAAGTCTTCCCCAGGCTGTCTCTGTCATAAGCAAATTTGTTGAAGCAAGCTTCCCACAGCCCTAAATTTCGAAATCTACTGTTAGCCTCTCCATAACTTTCCAGCCAATATGATGTCGAAAAAGAGATGATGGTACAAACACAAGAAAGAATGGCCAAGCCCGCACCACAAAGAGTCAAAATGTCTTTTCCCATTTTCCCTTTTTTTATGTTTTCAAAAGGAAATGCATTTGATCAAACAGTCGAGTCTATTTCTTACCTGAAGGGGTGTGGCCGCTCAGGTGCTAAATTTTTGTAAATGAAAAAATATCTTTAATTAGGCGTAAAATACGGTTTGAATTAAAAAGAATGTTCAGATTGGGATGAAACTATAATTATAATTGAATTTATAACTTGAAAGTATGGTTGAACAAATACGGTAACTTGTGAAGTTAGCCTTTTGTAAGATCGTTTTGTTCATGTTGTAAGCGGTATTGTTTATTTACCTGAGATGACCTAATTAGTCACGCAGGTATTTCAAAGGTATGTTATTAGTTTAGTTAAACCTGATATATTTTTTTCTGTGCTGTTAATTTTATAATAGCGGGAAACTTATTAAAAGTATTCACATAAGGGCCGTTTTCCAATTTATAGTTCATATCTAAAATGATTTTTGAGTCATTCAAATGGCATTGTTGAAATTCAAACCGCTTATACCAATAAGACTTCCGCGTTTTTTTTAGAATTCAATGAAAAATAGTTACTAAATTGAAATTGTTTTGTTCTACATGTACAAGTGTTAGAGGTTATGTAATAATAACAATTTTCTTTGTCAAATTAAACAGGTAATTTCTGTGTTTCAGGAAAATATTAGGTGAATTTCGTCGCGAGTTACCTGTCAACCCTATACAGGTGTGAAAGGTAGGATCGCCCACCTGAGTAATAAACAAAATTCAAAATGGCGAACGATCCGAAATACAAGATAAGTCCTGGTATGAGACTGTATTGGTGTGGACTTATTTCATCAATAGCGGCATTTTGTTCGGTGTTCCTCGGATTCTGTAGTCCATACTGGTACCAGTCCTGGAGGCGAGTACACAGTCCGTTAGCCAATGTTGGACTGTGGCACATTTGTTTATCTGGTTATGTTAAGCCAAGGGATCCTCAGATGCAAAGCTATGTTGGCTGTTGGTGGATTCATTCATCATTTTTCAGTGATGTACAAGAGTTTATTATGCCCCGTAAGTATTCGATAAAGTAACATTGATCACTATAACTTTAGTATATAAGTACAAAATGACATTATGTTTTTGTTTTATTTCCTGTTAATGTCAAACATCATTTTGTGAACTTACATGTAAATATCATGTAAATATCATGACTGTCACGTCAGAAGACTGTTGCAATTACAAACCTGTTATCGCACAAGACTGGATTACCGAACTAATGTCAAAAAGTTTTTCACTACTCAAGTGGGATTTGAACTCACATTTGGATAAGAAGTTAGATTCTGTGAGTCCTAAACCATTTTTCCTCCAAGTTACAACATTATTGGTGCATTAGTCATGTTAATGCATTTAAAAAAGAATTGGGAAACTTGAAATATATTTATATGCATAGTTCTTTATAAATGATATTTTTTTTTAACAACACAGGTAAAGTACAAGTATAAAGCTGTCAATCACTTAATAATGGTTCAATGTGTTTGCAACATAACACAAACATCCTGGGTTCAAACCTTATTAATGTGATAACTATGTTTGTTTGAATGTTAGAACAATTCATACAACTACCATTAAAGTAAATTGTTATTTGTGAGCGAGGGGAATTAATTGTTTTTATTTTTTTTCTATATAATATAAGGCCTGTATACCATGGTTTCACCTGGAAAATTTACAACTTAATTAGGGATTTAATTGAACTTTTATTACAAGCTCCAGTAGTATATTGTTTCCAGTTAATGCTTTCACCCCATTTTGTTAAAGAAATTTCTTACGTAATATAGGCTTGTCATGGTAAATTTAATCTACATTAAATAAAAAAGCAAATTTAAAATTAAAAAACAAAACAAAAAAATATTTGAGTTGCTAAAGGTGGAGATAGCATTTTATGTTTTAAACTTCAAACAGTGAACTAGCAATAATTGCCATTTTTCCACTCTTTTGGAAATAGTTAAGTTCTGCCCTATTTTGATTTTCTCCTATTCATGAAACTTAAATTGTAAAGTAAAAGCAAAATTTGTAATTAACAAGTTTCTTTTTACATCTTTCATTTTACATCTTTTTTTCTCAGGGGAAAGGGGGGGGGGACATTTTTTTTGTGACCTTGATTTGCATTTGGGGAGTATGTAGTACTAATGGGCCAGATGTCCAGTCCCTTATCTCCCTGTCTGTGTCATGAAGGACCTTTTTCTTTACCTATAGATCTCAGTATTTTTTTTCTCTCGTATCACAACAGTTACAAAACTTTACGCAATACATAAGTGCAACAAAACAATAAATTTAAATAGAATGCATCATGCTTATAGTCACTATGAACGGTTAAGGTTTTTGAGCCAGAGTATTAGTTTTCTCTAGCCATTGATATAATAAAATCCTGTCATTTTCTTCTTTATTACAGCATGGTTTCGAGCTTGCCAGGCCCTTGTGATCTTTACGCTGCTGTGTAACATATTTTCACTGGTGTTGTGTGTGATATATGTGGTTGAGAAATGGCGACGGAAAGTGTACGGAAATAGATATGTCCTTGTTCATATCATCAACGCTGTTTTATTATTTGCTGCAGGTAAAATCATTATATTAATTCATCTTAATCAACTATGTTGTTTTATGATTTTGCAAGTATAATGATTAATGTTGTCACTGTCCAAATTCATATACATGCCACTTTGATTATTTTGAACTTCTATAATTATTATTTTCATTCAGTTATTTGCCATTAAACTTGATACAGAAAGTTTAACATTGAAGAATATGAATAGTTATAGTTTATGTTTCATATAACATGTCTTGAGGACCTTGTATCCATTGATATTTATTACAATTTGTTTTGGTTTAAAGTGCCTCCATTGCCAAAAGCTAAATTGAATGATGAGATAATATATGAATTAATGATAATATGAACATTTTTTTATTTTCAGCTTTCCTAGTTTTCATTGTATCACTGGTATTTGCCGAGATGGCGAGACAGGAGAACTACTTCCCACGTCCCTGGATGAACTATCTCTCGTGGTCGTACGGCTTCAATGTTTTATCCGGTTTCTTCTCCGCGTTCGGTGGCATTTGCCTGTTTATCATGGCAATGATTTTGAAAGAGAAACTTTTCGCAAGTGAAGGCGTTGCTAAAGAATTCGGTGCAAGTCAGGGCAGTGAGAGTGTTATCACAGGCATGGGGGCCGTCTCTGAGAAGAGTAAAAGTGAATCTTTTGTATAGAAGACTGAAGTTTGCTATGTTACGCATATATTTTATACCTTCTGTAATATAGAACATTCCAATGTATTCATACATTCTTCTGTTTGAAACATTTTATGAAATAATGCCGTTTTTTTCGTCAGATTTTAGTTGTATAATGAAAGTTCTGCATGATTGGAAATATTATTATAGACTTAGAATCATAATAGAAATTTTGCTGATTCAATATGCTCATTTAAGTATCTCTTTCTGAAAGTTAAATAACTGAAAAAAGAGAAACACCTTTTGTTAAAAACACAAATATTTATATAAAGATTAAGCTTTTTAATAAGAAAAAAAGAAATCTTAGAGCTCAACACAGTAAAATTGTTTGTAACTGATTTTTACCAGGTGTCAAATACTGTATAATATTTTAAAGGAAAGGACTTGCTTTGTAAATATTTAAGACTATTTGGACTATAAAGAATATATGTATATAGACTATCATTATGTAAATATTACATGCACAAATTATCATTAATCTCATTGGTCCTTATATGAACGGTTAACTGGTGTAGAAATGTTATAAGTTTGTATACAATAAAAATAACCATTTTTACACCAGTCTGAGTCTTGAACTTCATGCTTACTTCTTTTCTAGTGCTTTAATTTACATGAAGGCTTAGGTTTGCAGTTCTTTGCAATTATATACCGGGAAAAAGAACATGTTTATATATTTTTAAGGTTTTTTCTTCAAAATTTTAATCGACAGTTAAATTTTCGATATATGAAAATTTGCTAAATGTTCATTAAAATTGATATGTGTCTTTAATGTGTATTTTATAATGATTGAAGGGTTTAATTCTAGAGACGTTTTGTAACTCTTGTCATATTATGATAAAGTTCCGTAACTCTTGTTCCACTTTGAAATTTCATTATTCCAAGAGTAATTTTGTATCATATTCAGTAGTATTGTATATATCATAAGATTAAAACATTTATACAGTGTAACTTCCGAAAACCGAACACCCATGGGACTTGTCAAAAAGTTCGGATTTCAGAGGTTTCCGGAATTCAGAGATTTATGATAATGTGGACAAGACTAAGCCACTTAATATCACTAAATGTCAAGGAAGATGTGGCCATTACTGTAATATCATATACATAAACTTACCTATCGTCCGATGCTAGTTAATTAATTATTACATCAAATGCAATAAAATCCTTAAAGACGTTTGATGCATACATTGTCCAATTAATTGTCATATAATCCGCTAATAAACACTTCAAATTAACTGACCGCCGTAAATTACTATGATTAGCCACATCACTTCAAACATACCATTTTACAGTTTGTGATTTTAACGCGTGTCAAATTACACGATCACCGCTAATTAGTAAACAATCGATAGGGAGATTAAATCTTCCTGCAGGGTAAACATTCTCGATTTACAATGTATTTCACACCTTTGGATATTTCCGGTTTTTGGAGGTAAAATTGCATTGATTTGACTCTAATTTTACGAAAATATCGTCCGGTATTCAGAATTTAGAAGTTCCGGAATTCAGAAGTATTATATTAATAGAAAATGGAAGGGAAAATATCGGGACCGAAAAAAATGTTCGGTATTTAGAAGTTTCCGGATTTCAGAAGTTCCGGAATTCGGAAGTTACACTGTATATCATTTATTATTCATTAACCCTTACTCTCCAGCCTGTGTTAATAAAAAGCAACCAGCCTTTGCCATGGGATCTAGACCATGGTCAGCCTGCACATCCATGTAGTCTGACCTAAGGGTCTATAATCTAATTGGCTTAACTTTAAATTTTCATCTTGATATCCCCAAAGTTGATAATTGACAATTCGAACACTAACTGGACAAGTCCATTTTAGAAACTTAGCAGGTTTAAGGTAAAGAAGAAATAAAACATCTGATTTTGTTTTTGTATGATATTTTAATCATGTTACAATTGCTGTTTGTTATCCCTATAATGTTAACGTGGGATAATGTCAATGAAAACTCTCAAATATAAAAGTGCTTTTCATGTCTTTAAGGATTAGTTTACAGGATTTTATGTAAAATGTTTTTCCATTATTTTAAAGATTCATTAAATAACATAATTTTTTAATGTTTTGCCAGATGTAAACAAATCCATTGTTACATTTGCTTTATTTTTCTGCCAAATGTTACCATATTCACTTAAATACTAGACTTAAATTATTGTGCAGTTAAAGTTTATACTGACAGAGATAAATAACAAACATGAAAGCAAAAAAAAAAACAACAAAGAAACAAACAAAAACGACAACAAAATAAAAACAAGCTAAACTACATTGAAAAAACAATTTCACAATTTTGTTTTTGTCAATGGACATTGTTTCTGCTATTTTGAAGAGTGGATAATACTTTTGTTACTCCTAAGAACACTATTTGGATTTTTGTTAGGGTTTTAAACATACTTGATAAGTAATATGAATTATATATAAAAACAAGCTTTAATACATTGAAAGAAACATTTAATTGAAAATATTGAAGAGTGGTTAACATTTTTTTCATTTTACTCCACAGAACACTATTTAGAATATTATTTCAGTTTAAACATGTTATATAAACAAAGAATTGTGTTCCATTAATGTTAAAGTGTTAAAGCTGCACGCCTCTAGATGAGCCAGAATATTTCAAGAAAATCAATATTGAGAAAAATGTACTAAAATTTTAAGAAAAGTAATAACATTCCCAATCCAAGTTATATTTTTCATGTTATGTGTTGTTTAAGACTGATTTTGCTGTTTTTTATTACCATATTTCTACTGTGTTACTAACACAGTAATGGCTATTTTGCATATGTTGACGATTTTTTGGTAATTTTCTTTGACTGTAAGTGCTGATTGCAATACATGTATGCAAATTACTTTATTTGTTCAACTCACAATATATTACTTTTAAATACATTGAAAAAATTAACATGAATCTGGAGGCGTGCTGCTTTAAGATATCATATGTTAATTAAAGGCCCATTATGTCTTAGAAATGCTACCAATTAAACTTACTTCTCTAAAACTTTTAAATAATTGGAATCTTGTAACAGTTTTCAAAGTAATTCTATATTGCCGTATACGTGGACTATCTTTTGTAACTATAGCTCTGTTGGAAATGGGTATAATTATTGTGAATTAGTATTTTGTAATTGGAAGTCAAAATACTTCTTTGTTTACATTTTGCTTCCTTTTGGATACATTACTGCATGTTCAGTTCTACTTTTTTTAGTTGTTAAACATCTAACATGCTCTAAAATCTAAATCCATTATTAAAACATAATTAAACACATGTTTGACATTGTTAAAGAACTTAAAAAAATATTGATTTCTGAAGCATAATGTGCCTTTAAAAGATAAAATATAGTTACTGTAAAATGTACATGACATTACTGTAAAGCATAATTCATCTGAAAATATTCTGCATGTTCAATCATCCTTGTTTTATACCTGTATGTATATATTATTGTACAAGGAAAATTCTTATATATTTTTGTATCATATTATTATATATAGTACATAACAATAAATCATTTTCTACAGCTACTTTTACAGTTTTATTATCCTTAGTTAGCTTTTACATTTTGTTTTGGGGATGTGACTCTTCTCTTCAGGAGTGTGACAGTGTCTTTGTTTTCATAAATCAGGGAAGATTTTTGTTGTTTTATAAAGATGTTTGCTTAGAACATTACAAATGTCTTTGAGATAATAATTGGAGGTCACTATACAAGATAATAATTGGAAGTCACTGTTTAAGGCCCATACCTTTAACATAAATTTTTATTGAATTATGATTCTTTGATCGTGAAAAAATTTCAGATTGAAGTTTTGCAGAGAAGATAAAAAAAAATATTGAAAAATACTTGTTTTCATTTGAAACTTTGTACATGACTTTTGGATTAAAATTGTAGGTAACTAACCAAGACATATCATAACTTTTGCATAAAGTTTGACATAATTACGACGGTTAATTATAATCATTGCCTTGCATCATCGGTCAACAAGATCAATGTGCTTTCTAAGATCTAGAAATAAGAGTTAAAAAATATTAACTAAAATCTTAATCTGTATGCTCTAAATAGCAGAGTTAGTGCAGTGTTACATGAATGAATTTAAACATTGCATGTCACGTCAATGAATTCCCTAGGTTGTTGAAATTTGAACTACTTAAATTTGGGTACGAACCCCTCCAGGTATTCTCCCAAAAGTAAAACTGGAATATCGCTTTTAAAGTGTGGTGTGATTTTAAATCCAATTAAACAAATAAACAGAAGTAAGAAATAAATAAACTTTTAAGTTTTAATATATTTCATTTCCAAGAATCATCATTGCAACAGAAGAATTTGACATCATTAGTCTGTATGCCGCATATTGAGGAATTTGTGGGACATGCCTTACTCCATGCACCCATTACTCCCCAGAAATCATGTCCTGGCGCATGTGCAAGTTCGTAGCTAGATCTCTCAAAATCCATACGTCCACATTTGAACTTAATATAATTCGCAGCCGTGTCGTTCTTATCCTTGCAATAATATTTCAAAAATATACAAACTATTTTCTCCTAGTTTTACATTCCTTATCTTTAAGAATGAAACCATACATTCACCAGTCAGTCTTTATTAATAGTATGCAGTTGTAAAAAAGTAATCGATTTTTTCTTAAAAGTATAGTGTTCTAATAATGTTAACATAGTGTTATGATATACACAAGACGATATTTCACTGCGATATATACAAAGAACGATATTTTACAGCGAGATAAACATAGGTCGATATTTCAATGAGAGATATACACAGGACGATATTTCACTGCGAGATAAACGAAGGACGATATTTCACAGCGATATATACATATGACGATATTTCAATTAGAAATATACGCAGGACGATATTTCACTGCGAGATAAACAGTGGACGATATTTCACAGCGAGATATACATAGGACGATATTTCAATGAGAGATATACGCAGGACGATATTTCACTGCGAGATAAACAGTGGACGATATTTTACAGCGAGATAAACATAGGACGATATTTCACTGCGAGATAAACAAAGGACGCAATTTCACTGAGAGATATACACAAGACGATATTTTACTCAAAGATACACATAGGATGATATTGCACAGAGAGATAAACATAGGGCGATATTTCACTGAAAGATACTCGTAGGACGATATTTCATTGAGACATATACATAGGACAGATTCTAAAAATCTGGAAACAAAGTGATCCATCGGAAGCATTAATCACAACAAAATTACATGAAAATTGTTCTAAACAAATATTTATTTTGATGTTTTGTTTCATTTTTTAATTCCAAGAGTCATCGTTACAACAGAAGAATTTGACATCATTAAGAGCAGTGTCATCTCCGCCATGTTGATCATCTTCCACTCTAGTCTGTATGCCGCATATTGAGGAATTTGTGGGACATGCTTTACTCCACCCACCCATTGTTCCCCAGAATCCATGACCAGGTGCCTGTTCTAGTTCGAAAGTTGGTCGCTCAGAATCCATACGTCCACACTTGAACTTGATATAATTCGCAGCCGTGTCGTCCCCGCCCTTTGCAGAAATACCATGTATTTCAAAATTATAAAAAAAACATACATTTGTTTTGTTTTAAGTCTTTTATCTTTAAAGAATACATTAACTAGTCACTATTTCTTTTTGATATGCAATTACATGATTTTCTATTACGAATAAACAAAATCGTTGAGTTGATGACATTGTACACAAACCTACACAATCCCGTTTACCAATTTCAACTACTCTTGCAGTATGTATACACACCGCTTCTTTTGGTTCTACCCGGTCAAACAACAACTGACAACTCCAAACGAAAGCTTTGTTATATATTTTTCTTCTTATTTATCACCCTTTTTACCGCGTGTAATGTCTACCGTCGGAATGGCGGCGCTTTTGGGCACATCATGGTGTACAACTACGAGATGATAATAATGTATTTAATAAGTACCTTATATTGAAAAATCTATAGATTCATATACAATGAATATAGTAAGTTAGTCTCACATGTCGGTCATCTTCAACTTGTAACGCAAACTCCTTTAGAAACGTATTATCAGGACACATATGTTCGCCACCCCAGTCTCCAAAAAGTCCAACAGTTGAAGTGATTGTTCCACCAAAGTGTTTTCCTTCTAGTGACAAACACACAAGCTTAATTGCGTTAAGTGCAGTATCGTCCCCAGCCCCTTGTTTAGGCTCAATCTAAAATTATAATGGTATGATGGCTATTACAATAAAATGCAACTTCGGAAATCGTGTATTTTATGGATTTCTTATTAAGATAAAGATGCTTAGCTTTTACAATTTCTACAACGATGAGACCGCAGATAGTTATATCTTGAAATCCACATATATGACCTGACATATGTATCTACTGTACATACAATTTACATAACGAAATGTGACAAGATCAAAGGGTAACAGTTTGTTTTTTTCTTCTAAAAAATCAATTTTTGTTGATACATTCTTTAATGAACACAGTTACTAGAATTGCCTACAGTAATTTTTCAAATATTTTTCATTTCCTATTATCATTAATTTCTAAGAAAGTTCAGTACGGTACGCATTACTTCTGATAAAATATAATTATAGTAATCTCCCAGTCTGTCTTAAACATTGTACATACAACATCACCATCCAGAATCTACATGATACAGTCTATTTGTGCTTTGTTTATTTTGTTTAATTGGATTTGCTTCATTTTGCTGATACCGCTATTTCGTTAGTCACATCTTCTGTCCCATCAAATGTAGCAGCATTCTCTACTTCTTAGGTTATTTGGTCCTTATGGGACATTGGTTGCAAATTTTACAGTGTTACTTTATTTGGCTTCCGTACTATTAAACTGCGTTTTATTACAATGTATTTAATACGCCCTATAAGTATAATTTTCTTTAGTATATTGACAGTATAACAAGAATTTAATGTATAAAATGAAGAATCAGACTACTTCACTTTGATAGGATTCATTTCATATCCGGCGGCATGTGTACCTTCCGCACAATACTGCGCACGACCCCACGGTCCCCAACTAGCCCGATTTGTAGGTCCAATAGTATCAACAACTGATTTCCTGGCTACACCGTGAATGAGAAAACATTAAAAAACTGGAGAAATCACGAGCACAGTGACAAGTTGTAGGAAATACATAGTCAACAATCCGAATCATAAACAATGTAACAAATTAGTATGCTTTTTGGTAATACTGTTTATCTTCCACAACTTTAAAAGAACTGCGTTTACGTCATGTCTTATCTTGATTGAAACAAACTCGCCTGACCTTGGATTACAAAGTCGGCATGTGCAACATTTCTCGTCATAAAGCTTTGCTTTTGACGAGTATAAACAAAGACTTGGGCGATGTGTCATAAGGACCTGTCTATCTGTTATGATACCATTGGCATTGTTCACATAGGCGTTTTCACAGAAATCCTTGTTCTCGTTATTTTTCGATACCTAAATGATCTTGTGTCACACTTTTTTCGAATTTCCTGCAAAGTTTTTAGTAGTAGTAGTAGTAGAAGTGGAGGTAGTAGTAGTAGAAGTAGAAGTAGACGTCGTGTCCGCTCTATAAATTCTATACTAATGAAAGGATTTTCTTCAAACTTTACTCAATTGTTCACCCCAAACGCAATATAATACATGTTGATTGCCTCAAGGAATGCAGTAAAGCTGACTCAACCCACGTTGAAATGCCATAAAGAGGGTTCCGAACGCAATATAATACAGCTCGAAATTCGTCTTCAGCTCGACATTCATTTTTGAAAATTTTGAATTTTGATCTACGAGCTATCTGGAAATTCAACTCTAGCTCTCAATTCAGCTTTTGAAGAAATTGAATTTATAGATTCGAGTTGCCCCAAATTTAACTTCATCTTGAAAATCGGATTTTAAATTTTTTTAATTTCGATCTTCGAGTTGGCTCTTATTTCAATTCAAGCTCGAAATTCAGCTTTTTTCAAATTTTGAATTTCTATGTTCGAGCTTACTCGAAATTTAAATCCAGATCCAAAATTGTGTTTTGAAAAACTTTTGAATTTCGATCATGGAGCTGGCTCTAAATTTAACTCTAGCTCTAAATTCAACTTTTGAAAATATTGAATTTCGATCTTCGAGCTGTCTCGAAATTCAACGCCACCTTAGAAATCGGATTTACAGAATTTTAAATTTGATATTCGAGTTGAGGAAATTGAATTTCGAGATTCGAGCTGTCTCAAAATTCAACTCCAGCTTAAAAATCGGATATTAAAAAAGTTTTAATTTCGATCTTCGTGTTGGCTCGAAATTCAATTCCAGCTCGAAATTTAGCTTTTTCAAATTTTGAATTTCGATCATCGAGTTGTCTCGAAATTAGTCTTCTGCTCGAAATTCCGGTTTTGAAAATTTTGAATTTCGATCTTCGAGCTATCTGGAAATTCAACTCTAGCTCTCAATTCAGCTTTTGAGGAAATTGAATTTCTAGATTCGAGCTGTTTCAAAATTCAACTCCAGCTTAAAAATCGGATTGATTTCGATCTTCGGGATGGCTCGAAATTCAATTCCAGGTTGAAATTTTGGTTTTTAAAATTTTTAATTTTGATCTTTGAGCTGGCTAGAAATTCAACTCCAGGTCGAAAATTCAGGTTTTGAAAATATTGAATTTCGATCTTCGAGCTGGCTCAAACTTCAACTCCAGCTCGAAATTCGTTTTTTTTTTTAATTTTGAATTTTGATCTTCAAGCTGGCTGGAAATTCGACTTCAGCTTAAAATTCGGCTTTTAGAAATTTTGAATTCCGATCTTCCAGCTAAGTCGAAATTGGACTCCAGATCGAAATTCGAGTTTTGAAAATTTTGAGTAGTAAAAGTAGTAGTAGTAGTAGTTGTAGTAGTAGTAGTAGTGGTGGTGGGGTGGTGGTGGTGGTGGTGGTGGTGGTGGTGAGGTAGTAGTAGTAGTGGTAGTGGTAGTGGTGGTAGTGGTGGGGTGGTGGTAGTGGTAGTGGTGGTGGTGGTAGTGGTGGTGGTGGTAGTGGTGGTGGTAGTGGTAGTGGTGGTAGTTGGTGGTGCCCAAAATTGGATTTTGAAAATTTTGAATTTCGATTATGGAGCAGGCTTTAAATTCGTTTTTAGCCCGAAACTCAGGTTTTGAAAATTTTGAATGTCGATATTCATCGAATTTCCATCTTCTAGGTGTCTCGAAATTCAACTCCACTTCCATCTTTGAGTTTGCTCTACATTCAATTCCAGCCAAATTTTGAATTTCGATCATAAAGCAGTCTCCAAATTCGTCTTCAGCCCGAAATTCGGGTTTTGAAAATTTTGAATTTCGATCTTCGAGCTATCTGGAAATTCAACTCTAGCTCTAAATTCAGCTGTTTGAAAAATATTGAATTTTAATCTCCGAGCTGTCTCGAAATTCAACCCCACCTTAAAAAGCGGATTTACACAGATCTAATTCACTCTGAAACTTAAACGGTTAAAAGTGTGTTTCGACAAGAAAATCTCAATTTGCTGTGTTATGGATAGCAACTACAACACTCATGTTGCGATTATAGTATTCATTTGCATGTTAAAATTCGTATACTCACTTTAGTTTTACCCTGAATTTTTTTATTTTTAATCGTTATTTAATGAACAATATTTGATGAGATTTGCAAAAGTACTGTTAAAAAGGGTAAAGAAACTGTAGAATGCTTGATTTTTAGAGTGACGTAAAATATATTTACATAATAAGGCAATGAAGCTTTAAATAACCACTTCATCAATCGGAACGTCCTCGGCTATTATTCATAATAAACTCAGAGAGTTAATACGGATTGAAAGTAGTTCTACCACATGGTTTCAGATTTTAACAGGAACAAATGTGTAATCTTTGAAAACATAGAAGGAATGTTTATATTTGACATCCAAAGGAAAATGAAGTCTGTTTCAGTACAATTATTATTTGAAAATATGTCTGACAACTATTTTAAATTTGATTATGCCCAATAATTTTCAATTATAAACAAATCGGACTTAATGTCAACAGGTTTGCATTTTGTATTTTCGGTTTCTACAACATAATAATAAGTATATAAATAATGTTCTTTTTACTTTGATATCTATAAATTTACTTATTTTAGGTCGGCATTTACTTGATTTGTTTGCAAATCCGTTCTGTTTATTCTTACTATTATGTTCGAGAAACAAAAAGTTCTGATTGCTACTTAATTTACATTTGCCTTTTTTTTCCTTTTTCAGCGTGGACCAAACAAAGTCCCTATATATTCTCTAGTGCTAATCACCCTAGTTGTTCTATTGTTTGTTCTGGTCGGAAATGTGAACACTTTAGCTCCTATAGTCACAACAGCATTCATGATTATATACGCTGCTGTAAATTACTCTTATTTTGCTCTTGTCATGAGTTTCGATCATAGGCTAGCACGCGATCTACGATTTGGTGTTCAGGATAAATCACGAAGAAAAAGCACTGACATTAGTGGGTATGGAGCGACAAGTGTGACTGAAAAATCGTATAAAGACTCTTTTCAGACTATACGTACTGATTTAGATAAACTATTTCCAGAGAAGTTGAACCATAGAGGTCAACATCATTTAATTCACCAACAGGGCAAAGAATCTCACGGTCAGATGTCACCATCAGAGCCTGATTTTGATGCCACTCAAAGGTCAAAATCTCTAGATAATGTTTCTGAGGTCAGTGATTCGTCACAAGTGTTGCTTTGTAAGGAAGGAGGTACGTCATTGTTGTTTTTTACCCGTTTATATGTTTTATTTAAGCATAATAATATGATATGAACAGTTTTAGAATGTCAAAGTAAAAACAAATGAACTGGCTAATGACAACATTTATTTGGAATATGTACAGGGAACCCATTCATAAGGTAGTTGTTAAAGTCCCCTGTAAAAAAAGAACAAAAAAAGAAAGACCAGGTTTTATTCCTGAAAATAAAAGTATAACAATGTTGTTTTGATAACTTATATGTTGCCATTAACTTGAACAGACGTAGATATTCAAATATTAAACACACCATTAAAATATCAATGTTAAGTATTTATTATTTGCAAGTTGTAAAAAAAATGGTTCAACACAGCCACACATTTGGTTCTACGTAACTGCTCAGTGGTTGTTCTCAGATTGACTATAAATTCTATTCAGCTGCCAAGCAGTTCTACATAGAGCTGTCATTGATTTAGTGGAAAGGATATTTAACGATATATAACGATATATCAATATGCGATGGACAAATATCAGCGATACATCGATATGTCAATAATTACATATAATTACGTGTCTGACATTCATTTTATACCTGCTTAAATGATTTTTATAAAATCTGAGTTCAGTGTCTTTTTTATTAATGCCCATTGCATTATTTTTCCCTGACCATTTACTTGTCATCATTGCTATGAAATAGTTTCATTATGTAACAACAGCATACTTTTAGACATGGACACCTGCTTCTGTATATGTTTTAGGTTAACTTTCATAATTTCTAGACATTTAATTAATTAGTCAAAATTGTTGATTGTTTATAGATGTGTATCGATTATTGATTGACAGAAAAATATCAACAATACATCATCAACAATACATCAGTATTGTTTCTATCGATGACAGCTCTAGTTCAATAAATTTAGTATCGAATCTACATGAATATAATAATCTATTTATCACATATATAAAATAAGAACAATAAATTGTTTAAAAGAGTCATTTATTTTTCTTTAGCTTTCATTTAGTAGTTTTATTTGTGTTTAGATCCAAGACAACCACCTAATATGAAAATCACCAAGCAACCCAGGTCGTGGTACTCATTCTTATGTAACAGATGGCTGTCATTATTTGGGTATGTATATACATGTTTGTAATATTTTGTTGTGATTCTCATTTCTTTACAACACAAACAGAGCAGGATAAGAGTGGTTCATGACAGGTTACCTCACTGTTTACGCTACACAACCTCCCTTATCAAGATAGAAAGAAAAATGTCCTGTACAATGTTCCAGTCCACTGGAATTCCATTCTGACTATACTTGACCATAATTCGTGCAAACCCTTGATTGACTTTGTCATAGATACTTTTATTAAAGGGACTTAACCCACACTGCAGGACTGAAATTATTTTGCTTTTTTTTTTGAGATATATTTACCATTTGATGTTGGTCTGGACCAATAACTTTTGTGTAAAATTTCAGAGTGTAGTGAAAAATGACCCAATAATAAAACATATTTAAATGCTAACTAAAAGCAGACTACTGGCATGCGAGCAGTTCCCGTACAAAAATCGTAGTTACTTAAACATTATTTTTCATTACGCTCACTCACCAAAATTTGAATGTTACACATCAATATTCAGCTCGTCACTCAAATCATGGAAATTCCATCATGTTCTAAACATAGAATAACCCTTAGCTATGAGGCCTCATATGGGGTACCGAAATTATCCATCATTTTGTATGAAGAGAAGTAGTTCCCGTACATAAAATTTAACCCATTATAATTATACAATTTTATTATATCGGACCTATTTTTTATTTATAATTGTTGAACAGACCATTTTCTAAGAGATAAATAGATGTAATTCAGGAAATAGAAAGCAGACTAAACGCGTGTATCTATTACCCGGTACCGTTACCCCCAACGCATTCACATGCGATGGCATGCTTGTATGCATGATATTTTACGTATCAAAGCCATAAAATTATTTTATATAGTAATATTGGTCAAAATTCTGATAATTAAACAAGTTTTCATCACATTGCCTTCTTATCTGTAAACAAGTGGTATTAGTGGAAAACCCTTTAACATGCCTCACGTGTAAGTATATTTGCGCATGCGCGCAAGGACGGAATCCCCCAGATAAAACAAGGTCACGTTTTGACAACGCACAGGTGAAAGTGATTTAAAATGAGACTTTTTATACGTACTGCCGAACTGACACTTAGATTTTGTCTCGTTTATGTATCTGCTTGATTTGAAATGAATTTTTGAAGAATGCATGTAAAAATCAAGCGTTTAAATGAAAAATACGGGTACTGCTTCTGTACGGGAACTGCTCGCATGCCAGTATGAATTGCACAAATATAGAATTTTCAATTTATTTGTGAGTATGTATCATTATCTGTTGATTTTTTTCTGTTGTAAGTGCCAGTTTAATTTCAGACAGCGTTCTTTCTGTCAAAAAATATTACATTAACCAGGTCCATTTGGCCTCAGTAAACATCACATTAACAAGGGCCATTTGCCCTTGGTGAATATCAAATTATCGAGGTCTGTTGACTTTGTTATTCACTTCATTATCATTCAATAATGTTTTGTTTTTTTAATTCACAGATAAATGGCTGTTGTTGAAATGTCTTAACATTGTCTTTAGAATTATATAAAATAGTTTCATGTTGATAGATGAGTTTTTTTTGTTGATTTAGACATTGGTGTGTGGCGTGATAATGTTTGGAACACAGTGGATTTATGCTCTAGTAGAAGTCATTGCTGCCATAGGTGTCTACATCTACATAGGCCAGGCTAACCCTGGCTACTTCCCAGGTAAATCTTCATGCTTTCATGCTAACCCTGGCTACTTTCTGGGTAAATATTCATGTTTTCAATCCAACCCTGGCTACTTTCAGGGTAAATCTTTATGTTGTTTTCAAGCTAACCCTGGCTTCTTTCTGGGTAAATGTTCATGTTTTCAAGCTAGCCCTGACTACTTTCTGGGTAAATCTCCATGTTTTCTAGCTAACCCTGGCTACTTTGCAAGTAAATCTTCATGTTTAAAGCTAGCCCTGGCTAATTTCCAGGTAAATCTTCATGTTTTTAAGCTAACCCTGGCTACTTTATGGGAAAATCTTCATGTTTTCAAGCAAACCCTGGCTACTTTCAGGGTAAATCTTCATGTTTTCAAGCTAACCCTGGCCACTTTCGGGGTAAATCTTCATGTTTTCAAGCTAACCCTGTCTACTTCCCCGGTAAACATTCATGTTTTTAAGCTAACCCAGGCTACATTCTGGTAAAATCTTCACGTTTTCAAGCTAGCCCTGGCTACTTTCTGGGTAAATCTTCGTGTTTTCAAGCTAACCATGGCTTCTTTATGGATAAAGCTTCATGTTTTCAAGCTTACCCTGGCTACTTTCAGGATAAATCTTTATGTTTTCAAGCTATCCCTCGCTACCTCCTAGGTAAATATTCATGTTTTAAGCTATTTGGCCGCCTCCTAGGTAAGTCTTCATGTTTTTAAGCATTACAATACATTATAATGCCTTTAATTGCAGGTATAGCTGAATTTAATTTCTATAATTGGATGAAATCAGGGCTACAAAGATGTATAAGGTAAGACATCATTACTTTATAAAATATTTATCACACTGTTTCAATCTATTTTGTGAAATACTGGTAATAATTCTTTTCCAAAAAATGGTAATAAAATTCTTATTAGTAGTATAGGCGTCTCTTTAACGCCACAATTGCGCATGCGCGGCGCCATATTGGATTCTATTTTTAGAATGACATCATCGTTCTATATTTAGAAATTCATTTTTAATCTCCCGGAAGTATACGGAGCTGACTCGTATACACGATTTAGGGCTTGAATCGCGGACATTGAAGGTCAGGTCCTCGGCCCTAGACGGGGAGATAACATTTCAAATGAAAATTATACACATGTATCCATAAAAAATATGAATAAAATGACTTACCTTTTAATTAGGACATTTTGTATTTAAATAATAGTCTGTATTATTTATATAACATTATTAATAAAAATAGTATTAAAAACTTAATTCAATATTAATATATTATTTCAAATGTGTTTTTTCTATAAACATTCCAAATAAAAGAAAATGCGTTAGTAATAAGATATAATTGAAAACTGACTGACTAATTGATTCTTTATAATACAATGAATAAGACAATTAATTAATTTAAATGTGTTTCTTCATAAAGTTTTTTTAACATATAACAAAATATATGAAATTAATTTTTCAATTTAATTCGATATTATGAGTCAGTCAAATAATGTTTCTATATAAGATAATAATAAGGACTTTTACTGTAAAATAATTTAATAAATATTTACGTAAAATACATACATACAATGTTGACTTTTCGGCGTTCCGCAACGAAATGACTCTTTCAAGTTTTTTGCATTCCTTAATATGCATGACCGGTTTTAGTG